TTTTTTTTTTTGACCTGGATGACTTTTTGGTGGTAATAGAGGTCTTCCTCGACTCGGATTTGGCTGTCGATTTTTTTCTACACTTTTAGGAGTATTTTGTGCAAGAAATTGCAGTGAAATAGTCTGTCTAAGAAAGAGTGATTTTTTTATGTAGGGTATGCCTTAGGAGTGGTAGTAGAAGGCTTTCCCTACTTGTATCTGAGTGTCTATTTGTATGGTTTTGTGGCCCAGGTTCGTGCGTGTGTTGCTTGTTAATAAAGAATGTAACACAAAGGTAGCACTTTTGAATAAAAATGAATATGAAAATGTTTGTACAACAAATCTACGTATATAGAGATAGTGGGACTAATTTGCTAAAGCTTATTTATGTAAACCATGCTCTTACAATTTTTACTCTGCTTTTAAAAATGCCTTCCTCGTGAGAGGTATATAATAAAGACACTCTTGAAGTTTTTAAACATATATACACCTGAAAAAAAAATATATATAGTGTTTCTGCTGTTAAGCTCGCATATACTTTAGGATCAGGACGTGGCTGACGTGTTTACATCGTATATATGTATATATATCTTCCTATATTACAAAAAGATATCGCCGCCGCCGCCTCCGCCGCCGCCGCTGTTTCAAGAATTCTTGACCTAGGAGGGGGGAGTCCCCCCTCCTAAATTTTGAGGTTATGTTCGTTTTAAGGCTCTGAATTTAGCCGCAAGTCCGCCTCCCTCCTCTCATTTCCCCTCCTCCGTCAAAAATGACCTAAATTTTGAGGTTATGTTCGTTTCAAGACTCTGAATATAGCCGCAAGTCCCCTCCCCCGCCAGAAATGACCTAATTTTGAGGTTATGTTCGTTTTAAGGCTCTGAATATAGCCGCAAGTCCCCCTCCCTCCTCTCATTTCACCTCCTCCATCAAAAATGACCTAAATGACCCTTCCCTCATCTCTCTCTGTATTTCCCGCCAAAAATAGGGGGTTGGCGCGCGAAGCGCGCAGGGGGGCGTAGCCCCTCTAGTATATATATATATATATATATATATAGAGAGAGAGAGAGAGAGAGAGATGCAGCCGTGCCTGCAAAATTTAACGCCTTTGACACACCAACGATTAATATGAAGGTGTGCTTCCTTTTTTCTCATTTCTTAAGAACCCGCATACATATACGAGTTTTGTGTGACTCGCGATTCAAAGGATTTTCAGACCTATATGAAAAGAATGCTTCAAAACTCATATTTCTAAAAAAACAAATAATAAAAAAAAATTATTCGCTCTACTTTACAACGATTTTTTTTGTAATAAAAGAAAAATAATGATAATAACAATATTTACTAAAATTATTACGATCTATTGTATTAATAAATTAATAATTATACAATATAGTTTTGTACACTATATTCTGACATTTTTAGGCTATTTTACTTTCTAGTCATTAAGAATGTTTATTTTACTCCCTAGGGTTTAAAAATGCTTAATTTACTCCCTAAATTTGAAAGTTTCCACTTCCTTAACTTTCTAGGGTTTAAAATAGGATTTTTATTTCCTAGGTTTGAAAGTTTTGATTTTCTTTACTAATTTAATAATCGAATCAGCGTAGTCAACAGTGACTTTTTTTCTACTTATTTCAAAAAAAAAGTGTAAGAATTTGCAGAACAGTGCATACAGTAAGACACAATATACATTATATATCATGAAGGAATTTCTCTATACAATGTAAAATGTCAATATCAATAGTTCTCATCTACCTGACTATTAATCAAAGTATAGACAGAAGGATAAAATATGCACTCCTGGTAACCAGTTAGATTTTAGAATAAGACTTATTGGTTGAATGAGTGCAAGTTGACGTTTAGAAAAAATCTCGTTCTCTTTCTCGTTCTTCTTCTACTCCTTCTCCTAGTGAATATAAGATAAAGAGTAATGCGAATTCCTGACCGTGTTCGATATATTATTCAAGTTATTTATCGTATATATATGTATATGTATAGAGAAGAAGGAAGAAGACACTTGGGAAGGTCGTTCTGTTTCACTTGGGGGTGCGCACACAGTGTACACTCCTAACCCAGATGATATCGCGACTAGATATACAACGCAAGAGTTTATGGTACATTACAGGACAGTATGAGGTATATAATGGCTTTATGCGTATATATATATATATATATATATATATATATATATATATACGGGGTGTAATTCATGATGAAAGCACATTTTACGATCGCGACCATTCTTATATTTCACGATGAGCGCCATTCGCAAAAAGGTTCTAGAAGACATAAAGAGAGAAAAAGAGAAAGAGAAACTAAATTTTCAAAATTGTTATACTATTTCGTTTTTTCGTTGAAAAAAATTTATTTAAATTAAAAAAAAATACAATTTTTAATTAAAAAAAAACAAGAAAAAAAAATTGAAACCAACACTACGCGGTATTCCCAAGCGGTCACCCATCCAAGTACTAACCGCGCTCAACGTTGCTTAACTTCGGTGATCGGACGAGAACCGGTGCGAAACAACGTGAAATGAGCGTTGGTTGAAAATCATCATCTCAAAAATCAGCACAAATTTTAGGCATTAAGTTAATTGAAGCGAGAAAAAGAATTTTATAGAAATATTCCACTAAAATATAGAAATATCTTAAATAAATATTTTTATTCAATTTATTATAATTTAATTAGTTTAATTAGTTTAATTATTTTATTTTACTTATTTCAATTATCATTATTTTTTTATTATTATTAAATGCTCACATCTTATATAATCATAATAATAAATATAATAAACAAATAAAAGAATCAAAAATTTAATTGTAATTGTCATTTATATAACAAAAAAAAAACATAAATAAATAAAAATCATAACTTTTCATGGACTATAAAAAAAAATAATGACTTTTAATAAGCTGTAAAAAAGGTTTGTTCAACTTGTACTTGCATAATTGAATTTCAAGGAAGAAATGAAGAGAGGATAGTATAATCATATACACACTGTCGACGCGAATGTCGATAAAAGACCAGTTTTTCAGTTGTATGTAACCGAAAAATTTTACGATCTTTTTATGACCATTTTGCTCATAAAAGTATATATATCACTATATGTATATAAAGAAAAAAGGGGAGAGAGAGAAAGAGAATTTTATCCTGTGTAACGATCATTCTGATTGAAAAACGTTTTACAAAAATTTGGCGATACAAAAACCGATGTTGACAGTTATATATTGACACTCTGTTGTTGTATAGAGTATAAAAGTGTTAAAATCGATTTTTTTTAATTCTCATTTTCCATCGAGATATAAGATAAGATATTTGTATATATGTATAGTAAATAATAAGTTTTATTTTAATATAATTTTCCTCAAATTTTTCAATGGAACATTTCTTTAATATTCGATTGGAATATTTCTAGCATATTCTCTAGGAACGCTCCAAAGTTCTAATATTTTAATATCTGTGGAATATTCCAAAGGAATGTTTCGAATGTTCCATAGGAATGTTCCCAATGTTCCAATGGAATATTCCATAGAAATGTTTCCAATGTTCCATAGGAATGTTTCCAATGTTCCAATGGAATATTCCATAGAAATGTTCCCAATGTTCCAATGGAATATTCCATAGAAATGTTCCGAATGTTCCATAGGAATGTTCCCAATGTTCCAATGGAATATTCCATATAAATGTTTCCAATGTTCCAATGGAATATTCTATAGAAATGTTCCGAATGTTCCATAGGAATGTTTCCAATGTTCCAATGGAATATTCTATAGAAATGTTCCGAATGTTCCATAGGAATGTTCCCAATGTTCACAATGTTCTAATGGAATATTCCATAGAAATGTTCCGAATGTTCCAATGGAATATTCCCGGTACCTGAATGGAATATTCCGTACTATTGTATGTAATAATTGTAATAATTTTATAATAAAAGAAGAAAAAATTTACAATATATAATATAATGTTTAAAAATAAGTCTTTTCCGTTTTGTTAAGGGAAACGAAACCGTCAATTTTCTGGTGTGATCGTAGGTTATCGCTTGCGGTTTGCAAAAAGACTAAATTCAATGCGAAAGGTAAATCGGCAAAACATTCCGACATGTGGAACTACTATCTTTCTCCCTCCCTCTCTCCCTCCCTCTCTTGCTCTCTCTCTCTCTTTCTCAAGGAAGGGTATCGACAAGATGTTATATGCCGGAAAACCACCATAACCACGAGACGGTGGTTGCAATTCTAACGATGTTAACCTCAAAACGCGAACCATTACTTTCTGACACGTACCGACTATTTTATGATACTGTATATAAGCTGTTGATTCTTTATGATACGTCTATTTCAAAACATATATACTATATAGAATATACAATTCTATATTCAACTTTCATTTTTTTTTTAAATATCAAAACGTAACTTTTGTTCTTCAAAAATTATAATAATTTTTTTATAATTAAATAAACAAATATGATAGAAAACTAATTAAATTAAAATTACTTAAAAGGATATATAAAAAAAATTTCAATAAACTACTATTTTGTTTCATAAAAACGATTTTTTACTTTTAGTTCCAGACACGTGAAATAGCTGCGTGGATTCCCTACTCGATTTGCAACACCAAGGACCGGGGTTCGATTCTTCACGGCTACGGATTTTTTCTCCTCAAAAATTTTCAGTTTCGAAGGTTCTATTATTATATTTACACTGTTTTAGTAAAATAAAAAATAATTTTCAATATCTGATATTAATAAATTAATTATTAATTAATGAAATGTAAGGGGCCGTCCATAAATTATGTCACACTTTAAGAGGGAGGGAGGGGGTCAAAAAAAGGTAAAAAAAAATGTGTGACGTCATATATAGACGATCCCTAATATATTAATAAATATATTAATAAATAAATATATTTAAAAATAAATTAATATTAATTCCAATTAATTAGTTTCCCATTCTAAATTAATTAAAAAAATAATTTGTATAACAATACTGATTGCCAGTAAAGTTGATAAATTTACGCATATATCGGAGATGAATTTAAAATGTTCCGATTGCGGCCTTTTCGATGAATTAAACGATGGCAAAAATCAAAAGAAAGTATAGAAGAAGATCGTGTGCGCGAGAGGGGGGTACAAGGAAATTCGAATTGGGGGCCCTTATTATACGCGTCAAGTAACATGTGTACCAAGTATAAGTCAGAAAAGAAGAGTTCAAAGAAAGAATGAGAGAGAGAAAGAGAGGGAAGCTGGAGGCAGTCTGTAATCAGTAGCTCCCCGCCGACACACCGCCAGGTTTACTTGGTACCCGTGCAACAGGGCACCGTTACCGGGCAAGAACGGATACCAGGACACGCTTCATGTCCATTGTATATATAATATGGAGTGGAATCGTGGTGCCTGGGGCCTGATTTGGGTCCCGAACTATATATATATATATATATATATATATATATATATATATATATATATATATATATGTACTCCGCAACGGGTCCAATTACTTGAACGTCTTCACTCCCGGGGCGCCTGTAGTCAGCGTCCCGTCGCGATATTATAACTTCCTTTTTGCATCTGGTTCAAAATTTTGCGAGACGCGTAAAAAATTTCCAAATAGCACGGAATATTCCATTCAAATTACAGGAATATATCATTAGCATATTCGGAATATTACATTGGAACACTTTGTAATATTCCATTGGAACATTCAGAATATTCTTTTGGAATATTCCATTGAAACATTCAGAATATTATTTTGGAATATTTCAATCACATTACAGGAATAATATTCGGAATATTCCATTGAAACATTAAGAATATTACTTTCAAATATTCCATTCACATTCCAGGAGTATATCATTATAACATTCCGAATATTCCTTCGAAATATTCTATTCACGTTCCAGGAATAATAATCATTAAAATATTCAGAAGTATTCCAAAGGAATATTCTATTCACGTTCCAGTAATAATAATCATTAAAATATTCAGAAGTATTCTAAAGGAATATTTTATTCACGTTCTAGGAATATATTATTATAACATTTCGTATATTACTTTGGAATATTCCATTAACATTCCAGAAATATATTATTATAACATTCCGTATATTACTTTGGAATATTCGATTAACATTCCAGAAATATATTATCATAACATTCTGAATATTCCTTTGAAATATTTTATCCATATTCAAGGAATATGAAGCCGTATAACCTTTGGAGCGTTTCTGAAGAAATATTCTTTTTTTTTAAATATTCTTTTAATATTTCAATAGTATATTCCTCCGATATTTCACTGGAATATTTCTTAAATATTTAAATGATATTCTTTCTAAATTCCAATAAATATTCCAGGAATATTTCTCAGAAAATTTTCTAAATAAAAATAATGATTTTTTTTATAAAATTATAAATGTTCTTTTAAGAAGATAATGAATAATAGCTGTATCATTATATATATATATATATTCATTCGGTGGCAGGAAATAATGTGTAAGATAAAAGAACTTTTTTTTTATTGTGTAAGAAAGTAAAAGAATTTTTTGACTCTGAAAATTATGGCATTATCTATATAAGATTATTATAAAAGATGGATTTCTTCATTTTAACTTCATTATTAAATAATTTTTCAAAACGGGAAATAGAAAGTAATTATAGTGGCATAAAACGATAGGAAGTTTTAAATTAAAAAAAAAAACTTGATTCTTTTTTTTCTGGAAAATGAAATTTGTAACTTTTGTTCTCGCAGTAAGTATAAATTTACTTTTTCTAACAAAACTATAAAAAGATAATTATCTTTATCAAAAGTATAATATTTTTTCCGCGGATAATTAATTACTTTCAATTTTTTTTCCAATCACCTAATTTTAAAACTACATTAATATAATATATGTGAAATACATGTTATTAGGTCGAATGGTCACAATTAACTAATTAAGGCTTTGAATCTAATTACACGCAAATCTAATTAGGTCTCTCTCGTTACTTTCGCTCGTTATGTATTATTAATGAATATCACAGTAAAAAAAAATATTTTTTTTTTGCGAAAAACTACCATTAGTATTTTTAAAATGTAGATTGGAAGCATTATTTTAAACAAAAATAGAATATCCCTTGGAATATTACTCGGAATATTCTATAATATTGGAATAATATTCCAAATAATATAATTCTAGTAGTCATAGAATATTACTATTACATTGTATGGAATATTACTATTACATTGTATGGAATATTACTGTTACATTCTATGGAATATTACTGTTACATTCTATGGAATATTACTATAACACTTTTAGAAATATTTTTCTGGAATATTCTTTGGAATATAACTAGAATATTCTTTAAAAAAATTACTGAATATTACTTGACATATTACTAGAATATTATTTAGAATATTACTAGAAATATTGCTAGAATATTCCTTCGAAAATTACTTAACATTCTCTGGAATATTACTAGAATATTCCTTTAAAAATTACTCAATATTCTTTGGATTATTATTAGAATATTCCTTGGAAAATTACTAAATATTTTTTGATTATTACTAGAATATT